GGGAAAGGGCACTTTCACTAAAGATATTCCCAAAACCATGAACGTAGTACTCATCTGTTAGTGAGAGAGAACATGGTTCATAAGGGATAGCTACCAGACTATCTTACACGATGGTAACGGTTCTGCAGGTATGATGTGGGATATGATCTCCTCTCCTCTCGACGTCCGAGATAGGAGATCCAGCCACAACTTTCTCACTTCTCCATTTTCCCACACTGCCACATAAGAAATTCTTGTTGAAATACACGTCATCGTGATAAGCGACTCATACTACCAAATTGTTTCCTGCCTGGTAGTTCTTCATTGCTTTCTACAGAGCTGAGAACTACCAGGTGAGTGATTAGTATCATGCATTGCTTTCTACAGAGCTGAGAACTACCAGATACATTTACCTGTAACTACCGCTCTAGCAATCACTACCGACAGATTTGGAATCAGACATTCTACCACATTCCTTCACCATGTCCCCATCTGACTCTGAGGATGATCAAACTACCACACGTCGTCGAATCATCCTCACCGGCTCTGACAACTACAAAGATTGGGAGAGATCTATCCTTGCTCGCCTAATTCAGAAAGACCTTGATGAAGTGGTGGAAAAAGACGCGGCACTACCGCTCCAACCAGCGGATGAAAGGAAAAGCTGGCTGAGGAAGGACAAGAAAGCTTGGGCCGCAATTGACGAATCACTCAGTGCTGCTGTTCATAATGTTCTTCCACCCCACCTTCTCGACCTAACTACTTCACCATCTGGCCTTCTGGCCAAGTCCCTACTCGACTACCTTCGTACTACCTATTCTGCTGCTCGATCAACGCGGAAGGCCGAACTCTACCGTATCATTTGGCGAACCGATATTGAAGAAGATGATCCTATGTCCTCAATCTCCTCTATGCGACGTGCATTCAATGATCTTACAACCTCCTCAGTAGTACTTGCTGACTCCCAACTTGCCTACGCCATCCTGATTGCACTACCACCATCCTATGCTATCATTGCTTCAACATTCTACATGCTTGGTGATCCTTCATCGGCTGACGTCATTTCAGCAGTCAACGACGAGTTTAGAAGGAGACAAACACGAGAAAATGGAGCTCTAGCCCTGGCAGCAAAAGTCTCAAAGCTTTCACATGGAAGAGTGCGACAAGAGAGGTCTGGGAGGATTAGGGAACGAGGTCCGGTAGTGAAAGATGGTAGTAAGCCCTACTGCGAGTTCCACAACACCAATTCACATTCCACTACCGAATGCAACGCTGCAAAACGTGTGACAGCTGCTCACATGGCCACTACCACATCCTCTCTTGATCCATTGTCCACTACCACCGCTCTCAACTTTGTCGCTACTGTTTCTCCATCCGCACTTGTCGCTACCGGCCTTTCCTCGACCATTGTTGTTGACTCAGGCGCCTCACACTCCATGGTTTATGAAGTGCATCTTCTTACCGATGTCCGCCCACTACCATCACCAATCCCCGTGGTAATCGGAAATGGATCTACAATCGAAGCTACAAAGATGGGAATCCTCACTCTTGAAAGTGGGTTTCAAGTACCAGATACACTGTTTGTTCCCCAACTTGGTCGCAATCTCCTGTCCGTTCGAGCTACCACATCTCCCTCCAAAACTTGGGTATTCAACTGCACTACCGCCACACTTCTTGAGAGGGAAAACGTTGTTCTCAGTGCCAAACTGTGTGATGACCTCTATACACTACCATGTACGTTCTCCACCGTGCAAACACACTTCACCAAGTCTAATACGACAGAGATACTCCTCCGGACATGGCATCGAAGACTTGGGCATCTAAATATTCAAGCAGTGGTCAAACTTGGAAAGGGAGGACGTTTAGGAGAAGTGGGTAGTTGGGAGAATGTGTCAACTCATGAATTCGTATGTGCTCAGTGCATCCAGGGAAAAGGCAAGCGACTACCATCTCCTCCTTCTACACAACGAGCTACCAAACTACTCGGCTCCCTACATCTTGACCTTTTTGGACCAACTCGCACTACCTCACATGATGGCTACCGAACCTTCCTAACTGTATATGACGATTTCTCACAACATCTTCAGATCCTATTCCTACACTCAAAGGCCGATACACTGACTACCATTCAACAATATATCACATTGGTAGAGAATCAACTTGGAGAACGTGTCAAATCATTGAGAAGCGACCGAGGGGGAGAGTTTACCTCAGCAGCATTCAAGAAGTATACAGATACGAAGGGAATTGAACACCAACTCATTCCACCAGCTGCTCATGCTCAAAATGGTCGAGTAGAACGTGCACATCTATCCATTCTTGACTTGGTTCGTACTCTACTAGTTGACAGTGGACTACCGGATCAGTTCTGGTCAGAGGCAGCAAGGTATGCCACTTACATTCGGAATAGAGCTCCCAGGTCAAATGGTTCAGTTCCTGAAGACATATGGAGAAAACATCCGGTTAACTACCAACATCTCCAACCCTTTGGTAGTCCGGTATTCTTCCGAGCACACACAGAGACGAATAAGCTCAAACCAAGATATTCACCTGGAAAGTTATTGGGTTACGAAGTAAACACAACCAACTACCGTATATGGGATACTAGTGCTAAATGTCTAGTCATATCTCGTGATGTGACATTCGCTGGAGCAAGCTCCAACCCAACACCGTTGACTCATACAAGCATACCTCCAACGCCTTCGTCTCGTACACATTCTGAATACTATATTCCAACCCCAACTACCATTCAAGAGCAAAGAAGTGAAGAAAATACACAACAATCCAATCCTGATGAACTACCCGGCAGGATTACTCCTCCAAACCAATCCTCAAGATGGCAAGGATGGGCCATAGAGGAGGACCCACGTTTCAATCGAGAATCGGCACCTACACCAGACTCTCCACTACCACCAGTAGATGAACACAATACGGAGGAAGTACCACGCAGATCTCGCCGTCAAGCAGGAGCTGCTCCAGAATTTACACCTCGTACTCTTGAAAATAAACTTGCCCTCTCAGCCAACACCGACCTATCCTCCATCATGTACTCAGCATACTCAGCAATACTCGCACCACAATCATTCAATGAAGCGCAGACCTCACAGGATTGGACCCAGTGGAAAGAGGCAATCAATGAGGAGCTTGCAAAGATGGAAAAGTACAAAGTTTGGGTGGTAGTTGACCGCAAGGAAGTCACTGGGAGAACACTCAAAGCTCGTTGGGTTTTCACGCGGAAAATCGATGGAACTACCGGACAACCTGCAGGTTATAAAGCAAGATGGGTTGCTAAGGGCTTCTCCCAGCTATCTGGTATCGACTACCATGAACTGTACGCAGGCGTTGCACACAAAGACTCAATTCAACTTTTCTTCGCAATCATAAACTACCAGGACTTTCACTGTGATACTGTCGATATTGTTGCTGCGTTTCTCAATGGAGATCTTGAAGAAACGATTTACCTTGAACCCCCAGAAGGTAGCAATATTCCCTCCGGAAGCGTCATACGTCTTGTCAAGTCCTTATATGGTCTAAAACAATCTCCTCGCTGTTTCAATAAGAAGCTTGATCAGTGGCTACGTTCACAGGGTTTTATGCCAACCACGGCCGATAATTGTATCTACTCCCGCTCAAGAAATGGTAGTTCTATCCTCATTGCACTACATGTCGATGATCAGTTGGTAGCTAGTAACTCCCGAATTGAACTCGATGAATTCAAGACGCAACTCCATGCTGCTTTTGAAATCAAGGACAATGGTCCTGCCAGCTACTTTCTTGGTGTCAATATATACAGGAATCGGAAGCTGAAAACACTGCAGCTGTCACAAGAACACTACCTCAAGGCAATTCTGGAAAGATTTGGAATGACAAATAGCAAACCTGCCCAATCTCCACTGCCATCTAACTACCGACGTACTGAAACTACCAATGTCGAGTTTGAGGAAGTCAAGCATGAACCTTTTCCAGCTATGGTAGGATCCCTGCTCTATGCAGCTACAATTACCCGACCGGATATTGCATTTGCTACCGCTCTCCTAGCTCGATCTGCAAGCAAATGGTCAAGGCAGGACATTAATGCGGCTCGACATCTTATGCGTTATCTTGTTGGAACTACCAACCTGTGTCTCACTTACAACGCCTCACTACCAAATGCAAAGTCTTCCATAGAAGGGTACGCCGATGCAGATTGGGGCGGCTGTTTAGATACCCGACGATCTACAACAGGTTTTCTGTTCTATGGGTTTGGCGGTCCAATAAGCTGGAGATCCAAAAGACAACACACTACCGCATTATCAACTACCGAAGCAGAATACATGGCTTCATCAGATGCTGCTCGTCAGGCCATTTGGCTCCAACATCTGGCAAGTAATCTTGGTTATCCCCATCCAAAAGGTATCTCCATTGTAAACGACAATCAAGCCGCTATATCTCTCTCAAAGAATCCTGTTCAACATGATCGATCTAAACACATTGACATACGCTACCACTTTGTCCGAGAAAAGATAGAGAATGGTGATATCACTCTCTCTTATATCCCCACTGAAAACAACCTTGCAGACATCTTGACTAAAGCACTACCAGCAGAGCGTCATGAAGAACTGGCGACACTCATGGGTATACGGGAAAAAGGACAAATAGGAAGTATGTGACGAGGGGGAGTGTTGAAATACACGTCATCGTGATAAGCGACTCATACTACCAAATTGTTTCCTGCCTGGTAGTTCTTCATTGCTTTCTACAGAGCTGAGAACTACCAGGTGAGTGATTAGTATCATGCATTGCTTTCTACAGAGCTGAGAACTACCAGATACATTTACCTGTAACTACCGCTCTAGCAATCACTACCGACAATTCTCACGGGCCCACGCTCAAATCCACGATCTGGCCATAAGACGGTCGAAGCCCAGGCACATCCGTTGTGCTAGTTCAAAGGCAGTGTCCCTACAGTCCTGGTCAACGAAATGGTCGAAAGTCGTTATAAGGAACGGTCCGTTCAGTACCAGCTTTCACAACAACTCACCATGTCCTTTTTAACAGCATTACCAAATTACCTTGCTAACAGTGTGAACAATTACTTCTACTCTCCTCGGCCTGCCAATAGTGATACACATGAAGAAGTATCTACCGGAACACATCCTACGGCCACCACAAGTGGGAGTCATACAGATCCTGAGGCACACACTACCTCTGGACACAGTTCTATGCCAATGATGATGATTCACGATCACCCTCAAAGTGGAGGTGTTGCGCTGGCATCTGGTTCTCCTATGGCTACAAACATCACTTCAAATGCAACAACTACACGCACACGTCATCGTTCGCCTCAGGGGGGGTGGTGTACTCCTTGCCGAGCATGCACCATTTTCTTGGGTGTGTTCATCACAGTTGTCACGGTCAGTCTGGTATACGTGAAGAAAGCCGATGACAAACACTGGGATAATTGGCGCAAGACCTTCACCTGTGATTTAGGTCCTATCAATCAGCTTCAAACACTCACACAGTCCAAAATAGATGCAGGGGGTAATACCACAGCTTATGATACATTCGAAAGATTTGTTCAATGCGCCACACCTCCACTGAGAGAGTCAACCGATGCAAAACAACCTCCCAGTTTTTGGGATGTGGAATCTTGGATCCCCCAAAAATACCCCTTCATTGGAATGGATAATGACACAGCCTACGTGATCGTCGAGGCTTCCATAGATCAACTAAAGGGCCAAGGTATGAAGACGGGTAAGACATATAAGCGAAATGAAGCGTCTGGGATGGTGACGGTGAACACCCCTACAAAGTTGATTGGTTATACTGTTGGAAATGAACCGTTCAATGATCCAAATATAGGCCTTGTGGGGACTTTGTTCCATCGTCCGAACGAGACGTTAGGATGAGGATCAGGATGGGTTTTGAGCCAACAACGGCTACAGGTATTTAATGGTAGTCAGGTGACAGAAGTTGGAATCCGTGCGTATGCAGAGAGAGCGAGTAGATGTTCAAAACTGCCACCTTGGGACGAAGTGCCACTGATGTATCATTTGCCACACGTCACGTGTCATCATCTTGAACCTGGGATTTTTTAATATTTCCTCCATAAGATTTCTCTTCCTCGACGCAACTTCTTTTTTCATTTCTGACTTTACTCATAATGGGCAAGACCACTAAGCAATTCAAGAAATTCGCTTCATCTGGCAAACTGAAAGATACCATCAGGGCTAGACGTCAGCACCAACAGATCCGTCAGAAAACCGAAACTCGTATCGCTCATCGAGCTAAACAACGAGGTGCTCCTCGGGCTGAACATGGTGAAGGTTCCGATGAAGAAGGTGATGAACGGGATTCTCGGGCCATACAAAGAGGTGGAAGAGCAGGAGGGATAGACAAGACTTTAGATGAGGTATTTGAAGGAGGTTTAGAAGTTGATGAAGAAGGTTCAGAACTTGAAGAGTTGAGTGACGAGGAGGACGATGATGATGAGGAGGAGGAGGAGGAAGAGGAGGGGGGACAAGATGGAGGGATGTTGGATGAGAAAGAGATGGAGAAAGCTATGAAAGATTTGGAAAAGAAAGATCCAGAGTTTTATAAGTATTTGAGAGAAAACGATTCAGAATTGTTAGAGTTCAAAAAGGGCAAAGAGAAGGATGATGAGATGTTGGATGAAGACGAGGACGAAGATGCCGGTGAGGATGATGATGATGTGGCTGATGATGATGAGATGGAGGTGGAAGAAGGGAGGAAGAAAATCAGTGTGACTATGAAAATGCTTAGACAATGGCAAGAAGCTATGTTGAAAGTAAGTCTTTCATCATACTCGTATATCACATTCCTGCCTGAAATCTCCTTGATTCGGGATGGAAAGTGGAGCGGATCGGTTGAAAGAGCACGGCGAAGCGGTCTAACGAGTAGCAACACTCGATAAGGAGCTTGAAAAGCACTTTACTCGCTTTCCGAGCAGCGGCACATATGAACGAAGACGATGCCGATCAAGGTAGTGGGAGAGATACCAAATATTCCATCGATAGTGCTGCTGGTGAGTCATCCATCGGTTTATCCCATTTGTATGCACATCTATCCTGTGTCCATACTTCCCTTTTGAATATCGCTGTGCGCCAACATCACCTACTGGACAGCTATCACCTTCTGCAGCTCGCACGGCACATCTGACCATCAGTATTCAATAAACTCGTCATTACCGCGTTGAAGTTCACACCCGTCGTACTCGCTCATCATATGCCTTACAAGGCACTTCCTAACGGACGATTGTGAGTTCTCCTCTCACTCCTGGCAGTTCCTTACGGTCGTGTTGTGTTTTCGTCATAATTTCCCTCGGGACGGGGTCTTGGCTTCAAGGACGGATAATGAGAAGGGCGATGGGAGTATATGAGACGTTGACACACAGTAAACTCCACCAAGCGAAGAAATCCGCTCAACCTCTTAACAGACTTGTGTTATCCCATCTATCCACCCTCCTTCATCTCATTAAATCACTCCCTTCTTCCTCTACGGAAGACTCCGGTCTTGTGCTCACCGCTATTGGGGAAAGCAGCAAGTTGTTGCCTTGGATCCTTGGAGCGAGAAAACATGTCAGGGCGTATCTCAAGGTATGTCCACACCAAGTGTTGAATTAGATTAGAAATTGACTCTCTCAGGTGATGCTCGATCTTTGGAGTAGCGCAGGTGATGAAGTTAGGATCGCGTCTTTTTTGGCAGTTAGGAGATTGTTCGTCGCTGGAGATGAAGGGATTAAGGATTTGTGTTTGAAAGTGAGTTTTCGACGTCTTATTCATATCTCTTTCTTCCTTCTTTACCTTTGCCCTTGAACATGCGACTCCTCACGAAAAGACGCTGTTTTATCATTAGCCTACACAACAGATGTTGGTCGCATGTGATTTTGAGCCGTGTGCAATCTTTACATGAACACATACGGAGGCACTGTCAGCGGGTGTAGGTATATGACACGAGTACTGACAACAGAACACATACCGTTCCCTTCTTCCCCCTTTACGCAACACCACCCCTCACACACTTCCCTCTATCAACTTGATGAAAAACACCGCCGCTTCATTGTACCAAATCTCCCCCGCTCAATCTTACACTCACGCATTCGGTGCCATCCGTATGCTAGCTGTTCACCTCCGGAATGTCGTCCGAGCTTCTACTTCAGGTAAGGCAGGAGAGAATCAAGAAGCTTTTAGATCGGTATATAATTGGCAATATGTTCATTGTTTAGATTTTTGGAGTTTGGTTCTGGGAGCTGCTTGTGCTAAGGGTGTAGAAGGGGAAGAATTGAAACCTTTGATTTATCCTTTGGTCCAAATTGCGTTAGGCGTTGTTCGGTGAGTTCAAATCTGTATTTCCATCTTTTACGCCGTCATCCTCCTCTTTTCCCTTTTAGTTTCTCGGATGCCCTGCCCGAATGTTGTCTGATTGGTCCCTGGTACATAGTCCCAACTTATCCGCGATCTCGGTGATCATTTGTGTCGCTCGAATTGTCGGCTTTCTTCCTCATCACGATCCACATAGTCTTCCATATCCTGCATCAACCCCTCTTGCTGACGGTGACTTTCCCTTCTCATGCGGTGCATTCTGACGTGGTGATGAATTATCTGTCATACATCGCAATGTTAATCTTAACTAACACTCAGTCTTCTGCCTTCTTCACGTTACTTCCCCCTTCGATTCCACATCCTCCATTCCCTAATCTCCCTCTCCCGTAAAACATCCACATACATACCCCTCTCCCCTTTCCTTCTTGAAATACTATCTTCTTCCGAATTCCATTCTCATCCGAAATCATCCTCCCTCAAACCCCTGGATCTAGAATATATAATCCGTGCTCCAGCTCAATATCCAAAGACTAAGATATATCAAGAATGTCTATCTGAAGAATTGATCTTTCTCTTAGCTGATCATCTCTCTTCTTTCTCTACCCACGTCGCTTTCCCAGAATTATCTCTACCGGTAGTGATGACCCTTCGAAAACATTTGAAGAAAGGTACTGCCGGAGGAGCCAAGTCTCAGAATTTGATAAAAGGTCTAGTGGAAAGAATTGAAGAGACTAGAAAATGGGTAGAAGGTAAGAGAAGGAATGTGGGTTTCGCACCTAAAGATCTTGGGGAAGTTAGGAGGTTTTTGGGTGATACAGAAGAGGATAAGACACCTTTAGGAGGATGGATGAGGGTACAGAGGAAGATGAGGGATAAAAGGAGGTTAGAGGTTGAACGTGCTTTGAGGGAAGAAGGTGATGAGTCAGAGTAAACCTCTTCAACTCTTGGGCGACTTTACATCCGAATTTAAGTACCTCAGAGACAATCGTCGTAGCATCTCTCTTTTTGTGCATATCACATGATGGTATCATCAGTACAACTCTGACCTACCTGCTGACAATATGTACCAATGACAAAGAGAGGAGAGTGTGTGGTGTCAGTGACACGAGGACAAGAGAAACGCCAAGAAAGTGGTTGGGAAGAATCGGAATTAACCGGCGGACCGGACCGGATCATTCGGATTTCGACCCTCTCACTCACTTTGTCACTCATCTTTCTCTTGAGTACTTTAACCTTTTCCATCTTCTCTCATCACTCATCTTCTCTCCTCCAGCGTATTTCCAGGTTCACTCTTCGATATCACTGTTGTTCGCATCGTACGATCTCATCCGTGCCAGTCACGAATCAAGCAGCATATCGATACACAGGGTCTAATCGATCGAATCGACCTATACCTTCTACTCACAAGGATCAGAGATCGTTCTCAGGTATCTGGTATCGAACCATGTCGACCAATCATATTTACGGTGGGGCAACTTCTGAATCTGTTCCTGCTCAAGTGGCAGCACCGGAGAAGATCACGGTGAGTTTTGAGTTTCTTCTTCTTTCGCCATCTTCTCTCGATCTTATTTTTCATCGGACCCTTTATGTTCGTTCATTCCAATTGACTGATAGTGATACAGAAACTAATTATTGATTCACAGAAGAATATGGACAACACCGATTCTGTCCAATCTCCCAAGTCTTCACAATCTACGGAAAACAAAGAAACCCCTCCAAAAGATCAATCAGTCCAAATAACAACTCATAACGACTATCATACGATCCCATTAGAACTATCACATCTCCATCCTGATCCTTTGATCCAATTCATCAATTGGTTCAAACATCTTCGTCCGATGGGTATAAAAGAACCTGAATCAATGACACTTTCAACCATATCAAATTCAAACTCGTTCCCTATCCCATCTTCAAGAACCGTTTTACTTAAAGAAGTGGATAAAACAGGTTTCACTTTTTATACAAATTATAAAAGTAGGAAATCGAAAGAATTAATGGAATATCCTTATGCTGCTTTAAGTTTTTATTGGAAAGAAATAAGTAGAGCAGTTAGAATTGTTGGTAAAGTCGAAAAAGTAAATAGGAAAGAAAGTGAAGATTATTTTAAAACAAGACCTAGAGGAAGTCAATTAGGTGCTTGGGCAAGTCCACAAAGTTGTGTGGTTGAAGAAGGTGAAATGGAAAGAAGAGTTGATGAAATTAAAAAGAAATTTGAGGATGGGGAAATCGTTTGTCCTGATGGTTGGGGAGGTTGGAGGGTTGTACCGTTGTTAGTATCCAAATTTCTCCTACTTCCTTCACACCTGACCAACCGATCGTTAGATGGTGGGGATTGCATAGATTGGTAAATGACTTGGATAATGCTGACAGATAGCGAAGTGGAATTTTGGTCAGGTCGTCCGTCAAGGTTACACGATAGGTTCAGATACACAAGGGATGAAGGTGGAGAATGGAAGATTGATCGTTTGGCACCTTAGTGTTTTCCCTCTTTCCTCTTTCCTCTTTCTCATTTCCTCCCTCACCTCAACCATGAGTCACTGTTGAACCTTTTGTCAATAGCCCTGACTTTTCTTCTTTCCTTTTGGTCCTTCCTTCTTCTCTACTCGAGTCCCATATTCTTTCGGTTCAAGTAGCGCGGGGAGATTACAAATGGAAATTCTCTCAGATATCATTACATACGGTTTTGAGGTGCAGCTATGCATAAAGTCCCTTTTGCGTTTGGTCTTTTCTCTTCCATACGGCTTGATATCTCGTGTCTCTCTTTACTCTCTTGAGTACATGCATCAGGCATCAATCATAAACCAACATCCAATTGTCCCCCACTACACATCATCTCTGACTGATCATGACTGACAAATCGAAATCGCTACTTACTGGCGATAGAAGCGGAACCAAATTCGGTATTTCGGCGTTAATTCTGCCCCACACCAAATTGGCGAAAATCTCCTTCTCCCCCTCTCTCCCCGCTCCATTCCTCACCTAATCCATCTCACCATCTTACACTTGTCCCCCATACACCATGGCTGTCCCTCTCGTCTACAAAGGTTCCCTCGCTGGGCACAGTGGCTGGGTCACCGCCATAGCTACTTCCTCAGAAAACCCTGATATGTTGTTGACTGCTTCTAGGGGTGAGCTCTCTCTTCAACTCGTCATCATTCTCCCACCATTACACTCCCTCTTATTCTTTGTTCCAGTCCAATAACAGCTGTCAGTATAGACGGCACTTCCGGATTTGAGTTCAACGAAAGAGTTATACCACTTGTCTATAAACCTTTGAATTCGTACTTCTCTGGTGAGAGGAATGTTGATTAACCCACAGACCACACTTGTATCCTATGGCAACTCACTCGAGACGATTCAGTCGGTTTCCCCAAAAAAATCCTTCACGGTCATAACCATTTCGTTTCTGACGTTGTCATTTCTTCAGACGGTCAATTCGCTTTGTCCGCTTCTTGGGATAAGACTTTACGTCTTTGGGATTTGAACACTGGTCAAACCACCAGGAGGTTTGTAGGACATAAAGGAGATGTCATGTCGTGAGTTATTTGGTATCTTATTTCTTCCCCATCCTCCTCGACGTCACTTTCCCTGGTTACCCTCCAGCTCCACCCCACTCTTATAGTCCTCTCCGCGTCTTCCCAGGACTTGATGCGATAGTAATACATTTGCTTCGAACTAGCTTTCTACCATCCTGCTGGGTCCTGTTGGTACAGAGAATGAACAGGACGTGCTGTTCCAATCAGTTTGACTATTGAGTTGCTGGTTTTCAATGTCCTGGCAAACTTTTTGACTCTATGAGCTTACGTCCAGTGTCTCCTTCTCCGCAGACAACAGACAGATCGTCTCTGCTTCCAGGGACAAGACGATAAAGCTTTGGAACACTCTCGGAGAATGTAAATTCGACATTGTCGAGGATGGCCATAGCGAGTGGTGCGTCAATGTCTTTTCCTCACAAGCCCTTCTTGTAGTTCTGTCCCTTGTCCGTCGTGTTACGTTTCAGTGCTGACGTGCAGGGTCTCTTGCGTCCGATTCTCCCCTAACCCGGTCATCCCCGTTATCGTCTCTTGCGGTTGGGATAAAGTGGTCAAAGTGGGTTTTTTCTCCATTTCCCTCCTCCCTCACAACCCATTTGACATGATGTGATCAAACATATTTGCTACTTCAGAGGACAATGTCCGATGAGACAATTTTATCCACCAAGATCTCTGATCTCTCCACTTTTTCTTCACCTTCCTCAAGTCTATTCCATACGAGGACTCCCCTTGGCTCTTCACGTGTGAGGAGGGTCAGTTTCATGAGAAGACAACATGGTGCATATGGAAGCACGGCTAACCCCCTAGGTCTGGGAATTGAACAAATGTAAGCTCAAGACAAACCACTTTGGTCACACTGGTTACATCAACACTCTCGCCGTTTCCCCCGATGGCTCGTTGGCTGCTTCAGGTGGGAAAGACGGTATCACCATGTTGTGGGATTTGAACGAGGGTAAACATTTGTATTCTCTCGAAGCTGGTGATGTGGTCAACGCCTTGGTGTTCAGTCCCAACCGATACTGGCTCTGTGCTGCGACTGCGAGCAGTATCAAGATCTTTGATTTGGAGTCGAAGTGGGTAACAAGATTCTCTGTCTTCCCCTCGTTACCCAACATACATGTTCTCATTTCACTCCTTTCATGTTCCCATCACCCTAGTATGTCTGTGTCGACAGCAGAGCTCCCGGTACATTACACGACGCTAATGCCAGATCCATCGTCGACGATCTCAAACCCGATTTCCCCGACCTTGGACCCAACACCCGCAGGCCGGAATGTACCTCGCTCGCCTGGTCCGCAGATGGAGAGACGTTGTTCGCTGGGTTCGCCGATAACCTCATCAGGGTCTGGGTGGTGGTTGCGTGATGTGATGATGCATTTTCGTATCTGTGCCCCGGGGGTAGGTGTGCGGCGTCAACACCGTGCGCCTCTCCTGGAAAACTATCACAAGTGATTGTGAGGGTTAAGAAAGAGTTACTCAGAGTTCAACCTTTGCTCACTGTCAAGCACTCGAGTACTGTACTGATCAGGGTGACGGCTGAGCGTGTATTATTTACTCGAGTATCGCTTCCGAGTTGATTTCTACATGTTGCTTGCATGCTACATGCTACATGATGTCAGAAAGAGGCGGAAAGGTATGCATGTTGAAGTGAAACAGAGATTCAACGTCATACGTAGAGTCTGAGTCCTAGCTATGGGACAAAGTTTGAGTTGAGTGAAGGAACGCAGAAATGAAGCATCGAAGATGTTGGGCGAAGATGGAAAGTTGGCTCGTGATCAAAGTGAGAAGACACCGATAATATGTCCGTAGGCTGAATAGGATACAACAAGGGGGTAAGGTTGACATGAAGATTACAGGTCGTATTCTTCATCATCGCTTTCATCCCTCTTTCTATGGATCTGGTTGTCAGTACGATCACTATTTACTTGTATCATTGTCATCTGGATGACGAGTGTTTGATGAGAATCTGTTATACACACTTGTGATCGGGATTTCCCTCCTGTGAATACTTGTGGGATATGTAATGAATGAGTTTCTTTTATACACACTCGGAGGATGGGAATTGGATTGATTACATTTTCACACATGGTTCCTCGTTTTCCTCCTCCCTCTCCATCTCATCTATCCTGAATATAACGATTGGAACAGTGAGATGTAACGAAAAGAATATAAGAAGGACTTACTGTTATCCCCGCTGCTAAGGATTTGGTACGTGTTCCTGTTGAGGTTGTCGTTATAGGTTTGGGTTTAGGTTTAGGTTGAGACATGTCTGTTACCTGATGGTTAACGTCCTTCTTGGCCTGGATCGATTCTCGCCACATCGGAACATGGAGGTCTCTAGTGGTTTTACACCGTCGCAGTAAATGCCAGACGATTGACTTCGCTCCTGCTTCTATCCCATCACATCAGATACCAGACCAGATGATCAACTGTTTACATGATTACTGGCGATTGAGAAGATAAATGGTAAGGATAAGAGAGATATGGTGATATCTGGGAACGTGGTGTAGAGAACATGACGATAGGGTGGTTTCCATATTGTTTCAAAACGAGAGGTGTAACGTGGGGTCAAGGCTCGATATTGACTAGCGGTTGGGGTTTGAGACGATGAAGATGATGAGATGAATATGAATATGATAAGATGAGATAGATACGGATATGATAAGACTGGAGGGAAAATGTTAAGATGAGATGAATAAGGATATGAAAAGATATGAGAGACGGGGATGACTAGGTGATGAAGGTATAAATTCAAGAGAAACTGACCTGTTGTAATAACCCTTTTAAATTCTCATCATTCACTTTCCCCCTGATTTGACCTGATTGTCCCATACGGATGAGTAAATCTTCAACTTGAGCAGCTAATTCCGGACGTGTTAACGCTATTCGAGATACTGAATATCAGAGTGTATTCTTCCTGGTTCCATCTGGAATATTCTTCACATTGATCTTGAAACCCACTATCCATATCGATCATCTTGATCCATCTTGCGCCTATACGACGAAATGATGACGTCCTCCGAGCCTCGGATCCACTCGTGATCTTACAAGAACGGATATATTCGAGAAAGACTATTTTTCTTATGTATGATGTGATTGTCATGAACGGAAGAAAGAAGATGGCTATATGAACTCACATCTTTCCCTAGCTTCAGATTCCAACATGGCAGCTATCATACCTCTCTTCATCTCTCCCATTTGTCTTTCTTTCGCTTCTTTTTCTTCTGTTGAAGGTCCTTGACCAGAGGGAACTCCTTGAGGTTGAGATGTAGGAGCAGGGACTGCTCTCATACCTGGTGGAAGGGAGATATTTGACATTTCGATGATTTCTCTTGGATGAATCAACACCTCTTCTTGCTTTACTCAGGTTCTATCCTCTTCTTGTCCTATGTGATACTGCTCTGGTGTATTCCTACTAGCCAATGGGGACTTGCGATTGAGATGAGGTGAGATGAATAAGAAGAGGTGAAAGACAATGGATGGATAGATGGCAGGGAAGATGTCGGAGGTTTTCGCCGCTTTCAACCTCCACTTTGAATGTCCACTCAATTTACTTCACATTCCTACTTATAACCACTGGGACACTATACAACTACCTTCAGCTACCACAATGCAATCGATGTCCGTCTGAGGAAGCTGAGAACGATTTCGAGAGATCTCGGTGGATGGTGCAGGTATCGGTGGAGTGAGAGACATAGGGAGGATTAGAAGGTCACCACAAAATGCCAAAGAAACATCCTACATCAAGACGTAAACCAGTCCCTTCTCTCGAAGAACTTTCCCCTTCTTATCCTCTTCGAAACAGGACCAAAACTCTAGCTGCTTCCATTTCAGCTCCCATACTGACCACTCCAGTATCAGGAGGGAGAGATGAGAAGATACAAACTCCAGGAACGGGAGAGACGGAGGGGAGTAGGTGGAGAGGTAGTTTGGAGGATGTGGTAATGAGAAGAATGAGGGGTATGGGGAAGAGGATAGTGAGTATTGGAACTTTTTTCTCCTGTTATACACTATATCTATTTCCAAGATCTATCTTACCAGTTGTCACTTGGAATCCACTTCTCATTCATGGCTTGGAAGACTCCGATAAGACGAGCTGGAAATGATCTCTCCGTCACTCCCTTGCAGCTATGAAGGCCTTACCAGAAATGAATTCACAACGTTAGCTGTGGACATGGCCAGGGAACGATGAAGAGAGAGTTGATTTGATATGACGGAAGATTAAGAAGCTGATAGGTAGCAACGCATCCAAGGTTATGCAAACCAAAATCCCACTTTGCTTAACGCAGATCAACGAAAAGCAGTTGGAACTCTTCCGGTTTTACAAGGGATATACAAAGAACTTTCAGAATTAGCGAGGCATTCTAGTCAGGTGAATATCTGTCTCCTCCCCTCTTCCTCCTGTCCCTGCCTAAAGTCTTTTTGCACCTTTCCTTGGTCCCGAGTTACACTCTACTTCCAGCTTCTGAAACGGCCCAGGTACCAAAGCGTCACGCGGCTGCAGACTGAGATGCTCGCTCAATCTCTTTCCTCGGACTTTCCGCTATTGACCTCGTTGATGAACCACGAGTGGCTTCAAATCGACATGAATGAGTTCAGGAAAGAACGATTAGATAGCTGACATGGGGAAGGATCCTAATGGCTCATCAAAGAAGCGACAAAAGGAAGCAGAGAAAGAAGCGAAGGAAGAAGGAGAACGTTTGGCGTTTGAGCAGATGGAGCAATACCAAGTTAGTCTAAACACATCTCTTCTTTTCCATGGATCTTCTCTATCATATATCCCCCCCCACCCCACCCCCCCCCCACCCCACCCCTCCCCTCCTCACCCCAAAAGACAATTCCGGACCATACCCGGCCCCTCTGGACACCTGTCCTCGACTTCGCGATGATTTATCTTCTCGGCAGTTTTACTTATCTACCCCAGGCGACCATAGCCACATCCCTGTATTCCTTCTTCAGTCTACTACATCTCCTCCCTTCCCCCTCTCATACCCCTCCTCAGCAAGGCTCTTCCCCTAATCTACATCTTCCAGTCCCTTTACGTTCCCTGGTCAGACCAACAGACCACTCACGTCTTCTTGACATATACGTACACATTCAAAGTAGTCCACATGATGCCTTAACGGTGTTGGATTTCTTTACTAAAACAAATCAAGAACATGATGAAGAATGTATGTTTTTCTTCACTGCCCGGAAATGTGTGGTTGATGATAGTAAATCATATATCTTATCTCATGGACGTTTATCATAATATCTCAAGGGAGGATGTCGAACAGGACTGTGAGAGGTTGGTCCCTAGACCACCTAGTAGGAATGAGAGTGGGTCAGGGATGATCGACGCTGATTTAGAATTGGTGGATCAGTTTCTTGGGATGCAAGAGCAGGAAGAGAATGAAGATTCACCTATACAATTCTTGCAGACTGATGAACTAAAATACCCATTGCCAGTGAGTGAAAATCACTTCTTTTTCTCCTTCCGTCAAAAATCCATCCTCTCCTTCCCTCTCTTTCACAACTCTGCTTCTTGACAATTCGCATTTTCTCTTCGCCAAGAGCGTCTCTTTCGACGTTTCACAGCTTTCAATCTGTCTCTGCATTCGGATTGATCTTGCTCCCATGAGGCCTTGGGCGTATGAGGAGGGCGTTAATGCTTTTGAAATGAAGGCACAGCCAAAGCGAGTGTGACTGACAAGCAGACCATTCATGTAGAGCAAGATCAGCCCACTACTGACGATCTCCCTCAACTCGCGACCCGTCACTCTTTACCTATAGTCAATCGCCCAATGCCCAGTCCTACGGCTTCTCTGAAACACTTAAACCCTCCAGGCCAAGTACCTCATCCATCTCCCCTGACTATGGAAACTCTTGATCGTTCTGCTCATTCCGCAAGGACTGCAAGGGCAGGTCGGTTTTCTTTCAACTCTCAATCTCAGAGGACTTTCGATTGGACGGAAAATATGGCTGGGTCCGTCCTTACCCGACATCTCTCAGCGGAAGCAGTAATACCCTATCAAATTCTCGATCGGGCTTCACAATCTCATATCAGCACACATGACGGTCAAACTCTTCGATCCGTTCCCCCGAGCTTCCAATACGAAGCGTCACAAACGTCAAAGAATGTTCAACTTACCCCTTCTCAACATTCTCCGAATACCCCAACAGAGGTTTCCTCTGCTCCACCGGCTAGAAAGTTTACCAAGACTGAGCGTGATGACAAGTCAGACAAGGGAAATGTGGATGGTGTCCAAGGAGCGTCTCGAGCACCAGCTCTGAAGACGCCACCTGACGCTATACTCCAACGACTCGGATCTCCATTTCAACTGGCTCAAGCTGAACAAAGAGGTCGTGAGCGTCATACCAGGCCTGTAGTGGACGAAGATGGTTTCGAGAAAGTGGGTAAGAGATACGTTACCACGCCGAGAAAGAGTAGATGGACCGGTGGACCACTTCGACCACAAGGGAAAGAGAAGTCGGGTGGGATGGACGTAGAGGGGAGTACGTCGGGACTGGCGGGACATGCTGCAGGTAGCAATGAAGGCGAGGTGAAGGAGTGGAGACGGAGGAAGAGTGTAAGTAAGCCGGTTGAGGTGACCGATAGAGTTGTATCGATAGCTGGAGCAAGTGGTGAGGAGAGAACAGGCAAGATTGATCAGCCAAGTAGGAGAAGGAGTACAGGAAAACGTGGAGAAGTGGGGAAACATGAGATGGATGAGACCGTACCACCTGTTCCTGCTCTACCTGAGGAACGAAGATGGGGTTTACAGACTGGTACAGACGGCGGCTTCGTGGGTATGGCACAAAGATTGGATCTGACTAAACGAGATAAGGCTGAGATGGTCAGAGGTGAGTCATATGTATCTCTCCCGTAGATTTCATCTCAAATTCAATAAACACCTGACGATTTTCACTTCTCACATATCGTCACACTGAAGGGTAATGTCTTACGCCGGTTCACATGTGTCAGGAAATATGTGATCCGTTTGAAAGAATCAGCTAATTTCAAGCAGGCAGAGGAAGAGGTACACCTAGAGGTCAAGCAGTTTGAACTTGTCACATTTCCAACAGTGACCGTAATATCGACATATTCCAACAATTCCCAGTATTCAAAAATGATTCTCTTCAACTTCCAAATCTCGTTCAAAAAAGGGAATGAATGATTGATACATACCGGCAAGAAGTTATAATACATAAGGAAAGAATCATCATATCATTCATGCATAAGTATAGTAATTTGTTCTTTTTCATTACTCTTTAATTTCTCGACAGATGAACTCTCAGTTTTTCACTTTGCAGGTTCAGTCAACGGAAGCTAGTTGTAGATCTTGTCTTTCCTGCTAACTCTTCATCACCCTTATACCACAAACCTTTATCCCAACCTTTCTCTTTCTCTCTGTTCAGATTATCTTCATCTTCATCTTCATCTTCATCGTCACTCTCTTCATAATCACTTTCTTCGTCATCCTCATCACTCTCTTCTTCTTCTTCTTCCTCTTGATCTAGATCGATGATATCCTGTTCGTCTTCAAATGGTTGTTTCCATGATGAAAGAGTATTTTGTGGTCCATTTACATAATGACCTTGAATTGATTCTCTTTTCATTCCTTTGTCACCTGTATGTTTCAACGTATTGGAATAAGAAACAATATCCTCTTTCTTTCCTTTTCCTCTTGAGACTGTATTTGTTGGAGATGTATAACATATTGAGTCCTTCACCTCCTTGTTAGGATATTCATCATATTCAATTTGACAAAGACTTTCTTCTTGACTTCCCTCAGCTTGAAACGTTTGTGGAACTACCACGATTGTATTCTCTTCATAATCCTCTTCTCCTCGTGGAAAACCCTTTGGTTCAATCATATCAAATGGATCGTAAGCTGTAAACGTGGACAAGTCTATCCCTCTTACTTTCACATCAGGTCCATAAGAATTTCCCACTCTTCCCTCTCCGGTTCGGATCATTCCCATTACTCTACCTTCTAAATCGGTATAACGAGTTGAAGCACTAATCAGATTTTGTCTCCCCTTTTCACAAACTTGCCAGAAATCCCGTTGTTCTTTGGTCCATCTTTTGCCTTTATGAGGTGCAAATGTCAAAGACGGTTTTTCCAGGGAGAGTGATTTCCAATTTGACATTCCTTTTGTACGCCAATCTTTCCAATTAGATGTGGCATGTGTGAGTAATCGAACTTCGTTGTTCAATTCATCCAGATAATCCTCAATCTGTCTCGAAAGAACTGGAAGTTCATGCGACTGTGGTGGTGAAAAGTACTCAGTTATAAGTTGTGAGATAGAAGGCTCAAGAGCATTAAAACATGAACGTATGGTTCGTAAAAGTTCAGATAAAGAAGTTACTGAAGGAGGTGAAGTGAGTTGTACTTGGAAAGACATATCGCACGGAAATGTCTAGGATTCGTCTTACAACTTATCACAAACACAATCAGTCTACTCTTTGAAACAGTATCTGTATGTACATTCAAGATCGATTTGAATATAGTAAGGTGAGCAATTGTGATCAGGGAAAATCTGAGAGGTGATGGTGATACGTTTGGAAGAACGTGATAAAGAGGTAATATCGGCTACGAGGAAACGGTTCATATGGATGATGACTCACAATGGCAGATCTCGTTTATTCTAGGCCTACGAGGGGGATGGAAAAATTGAAACGTGTATGACAATTGATAATGGTCATGTAGGATGATGGATCTCAAAGGAAAATCAAGCGATCTCAAGCGACTATCTTCGGTGCAGTACTTACTTTATCTATCGATGACACATGTCCTGCAGACCGGAGAAGAAGCGAAATTCAGAAGCGACACATCTTTAGCTTGGTACAGTATGGTTTATCCGAAGATGTATCTGGTCATGTAAGTATCTCATACCGTCTTTACTCTTCCATCCTATCCTGAGGTCATCTCAATCTTCATCAGTGTATTTGATCTCCAACATGTCAACTAACTCTCTTGCTAGTCCACTTCACTCTCTTCTTCTTCCGCTTCATCTTCTTTATCCTCTTCATCCTCTTCATCCTCTTCATCCTCTTCATCCTCTTCATCCTCTCCATCCTCTTCATCCTCTTCATCCTCTTCTTCCTCTTCTTCCTCTTCTTCCTCTTCTTCCTCTTCTTCCTCTTCTTCCTCTTCTTCCTCTGCTTCGTTCACCAACATGGTGTGCTCCTCATCCTCCTCTTGATCCACTAAGATTGTGTCGTCATCATCATCATCCTCTTGATCCACTGACATTGTGTCCTCATCATAAGTACCCTGATTATCATCAAGCTGTTCATCCTCTTCTGGCAAGAATGGATCATAAGACGTAAAACTTGCCAGCCCCTTTCCATTCACCTCCACATTAGGTCCAAAAGCACTCCCAACCGCCCCCTCATTTATACCACTGATGCCCATGATTCTCCCTTCCAAATCGGTCAATTGGGTCATAGCACTACGCAAACCTTTTCTTCGTCTTACACAAGCTTGCCAAAATGTCTTCTGTTCTTCTGTCCAACCATCTCCTAAATTTGAGGCATGGGGCAAGTCTGGGACTTCCTGTGAGAGGGATTCCCAACTTGACAACCCGTGCGTACGCCAGTCATCAATCAGTGAGGTCCGGTTTGTGTGACGTTGAACCTCATTGTTCAGAGCAATGCGGTCTGCGTCAATTTGTTTGGAACTCTCTTGGAGGTCAGGGCCTGAGGGAGCAGAGAAGTAGCTGGAAATGAGGTTTGAGGCAGCAGGAGTGAGGGCGGAATAGGAGGATCGGATGGATTGGAGGAGGTCCGAGAGGGAAATTGGACTCTGGGGTGGGGTAGGGACTGACATATTGTATGATGATGGTAGACAAAAAGTGTTCTGACTGGGTTTAGGGTCTTTGAGCTGTGAATATTGTTGTTGTATGATCCAAGAGGACGATATTTGGTGTAAGAAGGTTTCTTAGTTGCAAAAGCTGGTGAGTTTTCAATGTGGGATAGGAGATGTGTGTGGAGTACGGAGGTTTGGTGAGGTTAGACCTGGATTCAACCATGGTTTATATATGCATTCAATTCCCACCACGGGTCTGAAAAGCTCAGAGCAAGAGTTTCAGGGCCAAACTTGTAACATGGGGCTGGAACATACACATGTGTACTGAGATGCAAAGGAACATCAAGCAAGGTCAAACTTCCATTATTTTACCAGTGGACCTGGTCCATGTAAACAAATTGACCGGGACCTGTCACATTTCCAAAAGCCGTCTCAAACACTTGCATACTCATCATGTTACAGAATCTGACACAGTGTCGGTAAAGAGCTTGCTCACAACCTATTGCGTTTCCGCTCACAGGTTTGACCCCTCAACCACCTGACTGTCAAGGGTCAGTCTGATACTCTGGTCGCTCGGACCCTTCCACTATGGTCTTATTCAAGCCCGTGGCGACATAGAACATCTCCCACTCCTCCTCATTGAAAGACCTACAAGTTCTCATCCTCCCAGTCCCTTCCAATAACCATTCACCTCCTTCACCTCCAGGAGCTATATTCATTTCTGAAGTCATATTCCAAGTTGTAGATGCTTCCGGTTGATTTGGCATGTCCACACTCGCTGGGCAGCATACATGTGTTACACCAAATCGACCACCGAGTTTCAACATTGATTGTTGCACTTCGGACGGAGGTCTACATTCTTGAGTTTCATGAGTGAGACCCTTCAAATGGGATTGATGATTGGATTCCAGGATTCCCGAAATTGTGTAGACTGTGAGTCCAACAATACCAATAGCGATTACTAAAACTGAGCCACAGGCAGTACATACGAAACCCTTTGGTCCCATTTGAGAACAATCAAGACTACGACCAACTGATCTTAGAGCTTTGCCCGAGCCGGAAAGTAACGAGTCACATAGCTTTCGGGACCTAGCACCGCTTGAACGCTTAGAGCGATGAGTTGAGGTCAGCGTTGTAGCATCCCCTTCTTCAATATCAAACTCGTACCTTGTGTCAAATTGGGAAGGACCGGGTATGGAGTCTTCGTAATCCTCTCCTGGAACTTCCTCATACCTTTTTCCTTGAGATTTCCTTGTGGTACTCATTCTTGATATATGATGACTTGATGTTCGGTTTTAGGGATATTGCCGAGAAATAATTCAACTGATTAAGTGACTGTTGCTATGTGAAGGGTCAAAAAGAGGTTGCATCAAGAAAGAGAGAAAAATGGACATTATTAAGTAGTCACACTCGTCGACGCTCTTGTCACACATCTGACATGTAACAGATTGATACTCACTTACACCTTTCACAACTGGCTTGAACAATTTGATTGTATGACGTCTATGGCGTTCACGTGGAAACACCTCCTTTGAGTATCCGTATACAAGAGAAGAATGGATAACTCATGCACCAGAGGTTTCAACAAGACAAAAGGAGCACCCTGGTGTTTTACTAATGTGTATGTCACAGGGTTGCTTCTTCGTTAACTTCCTACGACCGACGGCCAATAACCTCGTGGGCTTCAACCTTTACCAACTTCGTTGTTCGAGATATGAAATAGGTGACAATAACTTCTGGGTGTAATAACTTTGTACTTTACTAACTTCTATCACTAAGACAACAACCAGAGATCGTCAAAGATCTCTGGGAACTTCGGCCCTTAAGTACTTCGTCCTTCCCTAACTTCGTCGACGCAGAACTTCGTTCAACCCGAAGTCCCGAGCTTCGTACCTCACGAACTTCGTTGGGGACGAAGTTCGTGCCTCCCTAACTTCGTATCTTCCTAACTTCGTATCTCCCTAACTTCATAACTCCCTAACTTCCTACATGACTAACTTCGCCCTTGACGAAGTTAGCCTCCTAATACCCTCATGGGTGATGAAGTTCATGAGAACTGGGTCGTTGGTGGCGAACTGATGTCCAAAGGAACTTCGTTTGATGGGAAAAGGATGATGTCACGCGGCGCCGCGTGTCAGTGTACATATTGTACATCTGGCTGACTGACTGCATGATCACAGTCTGGTGTCAAAAGTTACAGAGAATGTTTTCATAGTATTTTGGCTAGGAGATCATACATTGGTCTATAAACGGCCGGTGTCACAAACCATATCATAACATCTCTGACAACCACCACCACCGACCCTCCTTTCACCATCACCGAACCACTATCCATCACCACCCCAAACCACTGAGACCAACTACGACGAAGCTACGAGAACCTAGGGATTATTTGCCACGACAATCCCGCCTAAGGGAGAACTACGTCGAAGTTAGGAGAGGAAACCAAGGGAGAGCAGAGTAGGGGAAGTTAGGCGAAGTTAGTCGAAGTGAGGGGGTAGGATATCGGGGATATGGCGAGGTACGGCAAAGTTGAGTAAAGAGGACTGAGCGCAAGGCTGTGCAGGAGTTGAGGGATGTTCTATGAGAAGAGAGGAGAAGTATAGATAGTTTACAGGTCGCTGAACTCCTTCAGCAATCCTTGATTGTTGTCAGTAGCGAGAGATATATTCAGTAGCTACAACCATTGAGTCAGGGAGAGCTACCACCGAGCAGTTCAACGTACCACGGCAAAGTTAGCTGCAGTTCATCGACAATCACCTTATTGTTCACCACTCGACGTAATACTATGGCGTAGTTAGCCGTAGTTCCCCCGACAAGTACCCTGTCTCAGTGAGACATTGACGCCCCAGTACCACGTAGTTAGGAAGCCAACTTTGCGCACAACACGAAATCTCTTCACGCACAACATTGTCACGTGATTGGCCGTTAGGTATGCACGGGCCACAAGATTAGGCGCGGCAACCACATGGCTTATCCCCCTTTCCACTCTCCTCATACACTTGACTGTCACGAACTACGTCGTGACACCTCAGATTCCACCAGCAATGACCCTCCTTTGACCATCAAAACCCCTATCACGTCATAACCTCGTCACCCCACACGTAACCTAGGACATCTGAGACCAAGTACGGCGAAGTTAGGCGGAGCTAGGTGAACTAGGGACAATGGGAGCAGAAGTACGGCGAAGTTAGGCGGAGTTAGGTGAACCAGGGACAATGGGAGCAGAAGTGCGGCGATGTTAGGCGGAGGTAGTTGAAGGACGGGTAAGGACGGCCGGGACTCGGGGAAGTTGGACGAAGTGCGTTGAAGTACGTCTAAGCGTGAGAGGGTTGGGTGAAGATCTAGGAGGAGTAAATGATATTAGCTGAGAAGATCGCTGAAGTTCTTCAGCGATCCTTGATTGTTGTCAGTAGTGAAAGACATAGAGATAGCTATATACAATCGAGATACATCGCCATCAGTAGAACAAAACCTCAGTTAGAGTAACTACGCCGAAGTACGCCGTAGTTACACTCCTTTCGACGTCTGCGCCCTCCTGATTGGGTGAGACATCGACTTAGAAGCGTCAAGTTAGCCGAGGTTCGTCAACCGTCGGTCTACTAGAAGATAGTTGTTCGACAGCCGTGACATTGACCAAGGTCTTCAACTTCATCACTTTCTGCAATTAAGAGGAGAGTAGCTACAATCTTAAAACACTGACCATCGCTCTCAGCACCCTCGATAACCCCCTTCCAGTAGAAAGCTCAACCTAACATCCAGCAAACAACAACTCATGGCCATGGAACGACTAGACATACATGGGGAGAAGGGGTAGAAGGACATCACTCCCAGCTCGGTCAGTTTTCCACCTTTGGGTCTGAAACTTTTACACATCTGTAGAGGGGGACGTTCTCTACATGCTCATATAAAAGCCTAAGATTGTTTCATGCATTGGTCATGAGTAATAAATCATCATGGGTTCCTCACTTTGACCAGAGGACTGTCACGAACTACGTCGTGACACCTCGATTACTCCACCAACAATGACCCTCCTTTGGCCATCAAAACCCCATCACGCCTTAACCTCTTTACTCTACACGTAACTCAGGACTTCTGACACCAAGTACGGCGAAGTTAGACGGAGTTAGGCTAAGTAGGGACAATGGGAGCAGAAGTACGGCGAAGTTAGACGGGGTTAGGCTAAGTAGGGACAATGGGAGCAGAAGTGCGGCAATGTTAGGCGGGGTTAGGCTAATTAGGGACAATGGGAGCAGAAGTGCGGCGATGTTAGGCGGAGTTAGGCTAAGTAGGGACAATGGGAGCAGAAGTGCGGCGATGTTAGGCGGAGTTAGTCGAAGGAGGAAGAGGATGGCCGAGGGCTCGGGGAAGTTGGACGAAGTGCGTTGAAGTACGTCAAAGCGCGAGAGGGTTGGATGAACGTCTAGGAGGAGTAGATAATATTAGCTGAGAAGATCGCTGAAGTTCTTCAGCGATCCTTGATTGTTGTCAGTAGTGAAAGACATAGAGATAGCTATATACAATCGAGATACATCGCCATCAGTAGAATAAAACCTCAGTTAGAGTAACTACGCCGAAGTACGCCGTAGTTACACTCCTTTCGACGTCTGCGCCCTCCTGGTTGGGTGAGACATCGACTTAGAAGCGTCAAGTTAGCCGAGGTTCGTCGACCGTCGGTCTACTAGAAGATAGTTGTTCGACAGCCGTGACAGTATCAAGGATCGCTCTTACCGACGACCCGTGCGAACCTCGGAGAAGTACAAAGATAATATGGAACCAGAAAGAAGAATTACACGAGGGATGAGTAGGGATGGAGACAGGATGGAGGAGAACGAGAGGAGAGCATTGGAGGAGCTTAGCAGAGCAATGGGGCAGGACCTTGGAGTGGAGGATAGTGTGGGGGGATCAATTCAAGGAGATGAGTTCGTTCCACCGGTGCCTTCTAACCCTCCTTCTCCTCCGTCTAATGCTCTCCCACCTGCGGGATCCCCACTTGGATCAGACCAAACCCCACGCCCAAGAGAAAACACTGGAAGTACGGCGAACTTGGGAGAAGAAGGAACACAAGGGGTGGTGTTGGCCTTGATGCAGATGGTGGCGAATATGAACAAAGACATGATTGAGGAGAGAAGGCGTAGGGAGGAATGGGAACAGAGAAGAGAAAGGGATACAGTGGGCGGGATTGCAGAAGGGATATCAGAAGGAGTGAGGTACGCCATGGGACGGCAAACTTCGGCGACCCCAAGCGTAGTGGGCGAACAACGGAAGGGGATAAAGCTACCTAACCCAGACCTCTGGAGAGGAGATCGGAACAAGTTAACCGCCTTTCTGTCTGAGTGCGACGTACATTTCGAATTGAACTCTCATCTTTTCCCCGACGACACTAAGAAAGTCTTTTTCATGATCTCTCATCTACGCGAAACACCTCTTCTTGCAGTGCAGCCCGATCTATCCAAAAGACCTCTTCCTGAGTACCTCACGACACACGATCAGTTCGTTAAGTACCTCAAGACTAACTTTGGTGATCCAGACGAAGAAGGAACTGCGGCCCGACAACTTAACGACCTCAAGCAAACCGGGTCTGCTTCGGACTACTTCTCCGCCTTCCAGCGACATGTTGCGATTCTTAAGTGGTCTGATGATGGAAACCTAGTTGACCGAGCCAAGAAAGGACTAAAATCGCACCTTCTAGATGAAATTGCAAGACACGGTAGATCGTTTGGGACTGTGAAAGAGCTATTGGAGTTTGTGATTCCCTTGGACAACCGCCTGTGGAGGAGACAAGTGGAGAAGGAGGCAGAGAGGAAAAGGGAAGGAGGGATAAGGACAACGACAGTGGTGGAAAGTCAGAGGACGGAGAAGAAAGAAGAGAAGAAATGGGAAAAGGGGCAACCTTCGGCGCAGGGTGGTGTCCAGGCGGCTATGATGTCGACGGTGGTAAAGAGTACACCGCCAAACATCGACGAAGTTCGCCGAAGATGGCCTAGGCCGAGCTCCGATCTGAGGGAGACAAGGAGGAAGGAGGGGAAGTGTACCGAGTGTGGTGAAGCGGGACATTGGCTGAAGGAATGCCCTGTAAGGGAGGCTAAGGTTAAGGTTGGACTGTTGCCTCCATGGGGGGGGAAGTTCGGAGAACGTGGTGGAGGATCGGGAGGGAACGCAGTACCTCTCGGACAGAGGAGGAACTTGAATGCGGTTGGAGGAGAAGTAGATTTGGAAGAGGACCAGGGAAAAGAAGAGGACCTGTCGCAGTAGGCGAGGCTCGGCGGGTCCGCCATATTCTCTCGGCCACCATTCCCAAACCCATAAAAGAAACACAGCTGATGGAGCCAGAGGATTGTGAATACAAAAATACACCACTCAGTACCCCTTGTTCATGCAATGCCGATAATCATCTCCTCATCCCTTCCGTTTCCAGAGATCAACCTAAATCGGACATTTTCATTAATGGAATAAAGCTAACTACGCTCTGGGACACTGGAGCTACTTGTTCATATATAAGCCCTAAGGCAGCAGCGAAGATAGGTGTAGAAAAGAGGCGATATCAGGTGAGCGTACCCGTTCACATGTTCGACGGCTCGGTGAGTGTCGCTGGACCCATCACCGAGTTTGTCGAAGTCGGATTTAGTTTGACGAAGGACGCCGAAGTGCGATCTGTTTGTCTCGATGTAACAACGCTCTGCGACGCAGATGTTGTGATAGGGTGGGATTGGATGAGGAAGGAAAGGGGTTGTCCTTGATGGAAGAGACAACTCGGTGAAATTTCCCATCCCAACCCCACCAAGTGCGGCGAAGTTAGCGGCCATAGGGCTGCCGACTCTGACGGACGCGATAGACCTCCGCGGCGAAGATGAGCTTGAAGAGCTGAGCCCGGAGGACAAGACGAGTTGTTCCAGGTAGTTCCTGAACAATACCACCAGTACATTGACGTTTTTAATCCGAAGAAGGGAGGAGAGACCCTTCCCCCTTCAAGGTCCTACGATTTGAAGTTTGAGCTTAAGGAGGGGGCGAACCTTAAGGTCGCCTCCCTCTATGCTCAAGGAGAAGATCAGAGACGCGCGCTGAGAGACATACTAGATCGCGAAATCGCCGCTGGCCGAATTCGGGCAAGTAACTCGCCATACGGCTCACCAATGTTTATGATACCGAAGAAGGCCGAAGGACAATGGCGAATGGTCATCGACTATCGAAAACTGAACGAAGCGACCATACCAGATGCCTACCCTCTCCCTCTAATAGGTCAAATTACCGAAGAACTTGGAAAAGCAAGGTATTTCAGCAAACTAGATCTAATTGGAGCATACCAATTGTTGAGGGTGACAGAGGGACATGAACACCTGACGGCGTTCAGGACACAGTATGGTATGTTTGAATCTCTGGTTGTTCGTGATGGGCTGCGAAACGCCCCCGCGGTCTTCCAACACTTCCTAAATGAGGTGTTTAGAGAGCTACTAGGGAATGGAGTCGTGGTCTACATTGACGATATCCTCATTTATGGGAATACGTTGGAGGAATTACGAGGAACTACGGCGAAGGTCTTTGAGGTACTGCGGAAGGCGAGCCTGTACGTGAAAGCTAGTAAGTGCGAGTTCGAAAGAGATTCGGTGGTGTTTCTGGGTTTCGTGGTATCCTCTAAAGGTGTATCGGTGAACCCAGAATACATTGATGCCATCACTTCCTTCCCACGTCCTAAGAATCTACGAGAGTCAAGGGGATTCATTGGAGTTGTAAGCTACTACAGGCGTTTTGTCCCCAACTTCTCGAAGATTGCTAGACCTATCAATGACTTGACAAGGAAGGAGGTACCATTTGTATGGGGAGTCGAACAGGAGTCAGCCTTCAAAGAGTTGAAGGCTAGGATGTGTACTGCGCCGGTGTTAGCCCATTTTGACCCTACATTGAAGACGATATTACAGACAGATGCGTCGTTCTTCGGCTGGGGGTTCATAATTTCGCAGATCAACACGGCTGGTCAAGAACACCCGGTAGCTATTGAGTCTGGTGCTTTCAACACAGCTCAACTGAATTATACGGTAGGAGAAAAGGAGTTCCTCGCTGTAGTGGAGGGTTTCAGAAGAAGGAGACACTTATTATTGCAGGTGGAAACCACAGTACTTACCGACCATCTAAACCTTACCTACTGGATGGAACCGAAACAACTCAGTCCTCGGCAAGGTAGGTGGGTAGAGGAGCTAGCTAACTTCAGGTTTAAAATGGTTTATCGGCCAGGAACCCAGGCAAGTCTTCCAGATGGATTATCTAGACGGGCGGACTATCATTCCGGGAAAGGAAGTACCATGGTACAAGAGAGCAACCTTATCCAAGGTCTGCCGAAGTTCGATGAAGTTGACGCCACCACGTCGGAGTTGCGTCACCTCCTTCGAGCATTGCAAGGGACAAGGGAGGTAAAGGAAAATGATCTTGTGGACCCTATGGATCTAGTACTTGGAGTTCAGGAGGACGAAGACATAGAAGGGGTCAGAGAAGAATTATTAGGAGTCGTTTGCGCTGAGTGTTCTCATCCTACGTGTAACGATAACGTGCAGGAACCAGGATCAATCACCGAATTACGCCGTAGTTCGCGGTCTCCTCTAATCCTTCGTGGGGGGTGGAACTCAAGAGGTTTCCTCACATTCGACGATCGCATTTATGTGCCGAACTACGCCGATGCTCGGCTGAAGATCATGAAGATGCGACATGACTCAGCCTTGGCCGGTCATCCAGGTTCGGCGAAGACCCTTGAACTAGTCCTGAGGGATTATGTCTGGGTTGGAGTAAGGAAGGATGTCGAAGATTATGTTGCTGGATGCGTGGTATGTCAGAGAGTGAAGACTAACAGACAGAAACCTCATGGGGAGCTTAAACCACTGGAGGTAGCTACGAAACCTTGGTCTAGCATCTCGATGGATTTTATCGAGGAGCTGCCAAATTCCCATGGATATAATTCCATCCTGGTAGTGGTGGATCGGTTGACCAAATGGGCCATTTTTATCCCGACTACGACGAAGTTAACCGCAGCCGGCCTATCAGAGTTGATATTGGACTATGTGGTGGCCCAGCATGGGTTGCCAGAGAATATAGTATCGGACAGGGGATCGAAGTTTACCTCCAAGTTTTGGAAGAATTTGACCGATAGTCTCGGAATAAGACTACATCTCTCTACTGCATATCATCCACAGACTGACGGACAGACCGAACGAACCAACCAGTCTTTGGAACTGTATCTTCGAATCTTCACCTCCTATCAGCAGAACGACTGGTCAAAGCTACTCGCTCGAGCTAGCTTTGCTTACAACAACACCCAGCACTCTGCGATAAACAAAACCCCATTCTATGCGAACTATGGATATCACCCTCGTTGGGCTGAAGAGATAAAGGCTAGCGAGGTCGAAGTGCCCGCTGCTACGGTGGTGGTAAAAGATTTGACTGAAATACACAAAGATTGTATCGAAGGAATTGAGAAAGCTAATGAGAAGTACGCCGAAGGATACAATAGGAAACACCGGACTACGCCGAACTTCGCGGAAGGAGACCTAGTGATGCTGTCGTTAGAGAATATTAAGACGAAGAGACCAATGAAGAAGTTAGATGTTAAGCAAAGTGGGCCGTACAAGGTAGTACGGCAGGTAGGTTCTCATGCTTGTAAATTGGAATTACCAGGAACGATGGCAGGTATCCATGATGTATTCCATGTCTCCTTGCTCCGTCCTTATCACCCTCCAATATTTCCTGGTCAGCAAGCTGAGCCACCTGGGCCAGTAGAAGTAGACAATGAGGGAGAGTCTTGGGAGGTAAAGGATATTGTGGACTCTAGAGTAAATAAGAGGTCAGGGAAGTTAGAGTACTTGGTAGAGTGGTTAGGTTACGAAGGAACAGACGATTCAGTATCATGGGAACCAGTGGAGAACGTCGATGGAGCTGATGACATATTGGCGAAGTTCCACGAACTTCACCCTACTAAGCCGAAGGAAGGGCGACTGCGAAGGGCTAGGAGATAGAACGTACTGCATACAACATAGGATTACAGCTACGTACCGCTCACTTGTCCTTACTCTTACCCTTACCTTTTCCTTTTCCTTTCTCCTTCGATCTACTCGGTCCCGCGGGATTGGTGTGGAGGCTACCGATGACCGAAGGTAGATCGAGAGTCTCAGACGGGAACGCAGTAGAGAGAGAAGCATTCCATGCCCGATTCATAGCCCCAAAGAAGTCACCGAAGTCCTGGACATCTCGAGCAGCTTGCATGCTCGGGGTCCTCCACAGAGAACGTATGGTCCGTAGACACTCGAAGGGAAGACTGAGGAGGTCGAGAGCAGTCTGGGCGGAAGCTGGGACACGAGAATTACTACGGCGACCTAACCAGTCAAGGGACGGTGGTGGCTCATACGCCATAGGAGTGACTAGGAAGGGGGTGTCGAACAGTCTTCGGCGAACATCGGCTATCTCAGTAAGGCTTCGGCGAGAGACGGCCGCTAACCTTGTCCTTGCTTCGTCGTCCAGAGCCCCAGTGTTGACTACATCTACTAACGCCGCAGTAAGATTGTTTAAAGCGTTAGCTTGACGAGAAGAGAAGTCAAGCAGGAGAGATGTATCATTTCGGGCGGCCTCGAGCTGAGTAGTGAGACCGAGGACGAGAGAACGATAAGTGGCGAGTTCCTTTTCGTCCTCAGGAATACGGACGTCCAGGGAGATACGAGGGTGGACGAGGGACAACCGGGGAGCAGAGGGACCAGCACGCTGAGTATCTTCATTTTCCACATCACCATCATTGAAGGCAACCTCCTTCCCTTTAGATTTCCCTTTTGATTTCTTTAAAGAAGACTTCGGTGTCTTCTGGGAAGCAGAGGGAGGGGTGACGGGAGGGGCCGCCGAAGAGGCCGGAGGAACAGAAGGACGCCGACTTTGGGTGCTGTGAGCCGGAGGAGAAGCTACCACTGGAGAGGACGGACGTGGCGCCGAAGGACGAGAGGCCGAAGGACGGGAGGCCGAAGGAGCAGAGGCCGAAGGACGGCGAGAAGACGAAGGAGGAACAGCCGGGAGACGTGATGGGCCGGCCACAGGAGCGAAGGGCGACGGCGACGGAGGCGACGGGCGGAGGTCCGGCGAAGTACGGCGAACCGACCGGAGAGACGAAGACGGTACCCGCGAACGGGGGACAGACGCTGGAGTCTGGGGAGGGGGGAGAGGAGAAGCGTCAAAGGGACGGGGCGGGATGTCCCGGGCATAGGAAACGGGACAGAAGGAGCAGGGGCCAGACGTGCATGAAGCACAACGGAGGGCCTTGTTGTGTGGTCTGACTGCCTTGAGGCACGGCCAGTTTGGACGATTATACTTGATAATCTCACGTCTACTAATTATCAGGATTAACTTCGGCGTACTACGAATAGGTGGACTCACCGGCAACGATCACACGCTTCGTCGACACCAACCGCGATCCAACGACCATGCTCGGACTTCATCTTCTCCCACAAGTACTCTTCTTCCCGCATTGATCTCTTCACCCGTTTGGGCGAAGGCTCCCCTCTGGGAGAAGGGTGGGGAGCAGCGACCGTCTCGGCGGGAGCATGACCGGCGGCACGAGCACGATCGGCAGCGGCACCAGGAGCGATAGCGGCAGCAGAGCGGGCGCGGCAGCGATGATGGCGTTGGGGGGGGGGGA